AACTTTAATTTTTTTTTAAAATTTGGCTAGGTTGAGAAAATTTAGAAAACAAATTTGGTCAAAAACATTTTTAAAAACAATAACAACAACAACAACACACACAAAAAAAAACAACCATAAATGAACCACTTCATATTTATTTAAAAACTTTTTTCTTCGTTACGACATAACTCTAATTTTTAAGAAAATTAAGCAAACATATTTGGTCAAACACAGCTTTAAAAGAACAATAAAAAAACCAAAAAAAAAAAAAAAAAAAAAAAAAAACAACACGCAAGTGAATCACTCCATATTTATTTCATAACTTTTTTTTCTCCACTAAGACATAACTTTAATTTTTGTAAATTGTCGGCTAGCTTATTAAGAAAAACACATCTGGACAACACACAGCTTTAAAAAAGAACAAAAAAAAAAAAGAAAAGTGAAAAAAAAACAACAAAAAAAAAAAACAAAAACAACAACACACTACTGAAAATGAACCACTGTATATTTATTTCACAAGTTTTTTTCTACTCCGTTAATAAAAGAATTGGCGTGCGCGTTTGTGGATCCGTTAAAATATTCCCCGGGCCCGTTCATCAGACAAAGGAGCCACACAGCTCAAAAAACCACTAATTACCTTAATTATTTTCCCTGTTGTAAAAGAAAAATAAAAGATAGTGGCAGTCAGAGGGGTGTAGATACGTTCGCAGATATCCGCAGAAGTGTTAGCGATAGTCTTATGCTATCTAAGGTACGTGTTGAAAACTCTGATGTGTTCCTTTATTAAAATTGTAAAAATACAACAACAACAACAACAAAAGTATTGTTAAAAAAAAAAGAGAGAGGACAAATAATATATATATGAAATTTTTTTTTCAGAAAAAGGATGAAAGTCTTATTAGAAGAAAATATGAATTGTTTTACTTGTGAATTTATATTTATTACAAAATTGTTTATAAAAAGTAGTTTATTATTGTTTTTATAAACAAAGCGCAAATAACATAAAACTGTCAATATGTTAAGAAATGTGTAATGTTCATATATTGAGAAATAATAATTATATTTTTTATTCACACATGCATACACATATATGTAAATTTTTCCCTCTCCTGTTGACGTGGTTGAATCATCCTAGATTATTCTAATCCTTCTGTGGTATCCTAGATCAGATTACCAACTGTACTAAGCGTTATTTAGTAGCACCAACAAACCAAGAACGGTGTTAGCTTTAAGATTGTACCAGCCTGTTATACAATACTAAACATTTAATCACATTAAAACTTTTCATCCACACACCGTGATATCAAATATTTGTTCATGCCAAACTTTTACCAACAGGGATTTTAATATTGATAAATAAAATTTCAAACTGGTTTCAAAATGGGTTTATACGTCGATAATCACATATTTATAAAATATTGGAATCGTTTGGCATTGTATTTCCCTTTTGTGAAGTTTTAGATTTTTGTAGCTCGAAACTCAACAGATATTAATTTGTAGCAAAAAAATAAAGTAATTATTTAAGTAAAATCTCCGGAACTATATAGAAAATCAAGACTCTAATGCCTATTTTCCAAAGAGTTGCAAATTTCGGCCTGCCGCTTTCCGAGTATATTTACCTACCGCTTGCCGCTAATGCTAATGCCCACTCCTGTTTTCCGCTATTGCCTACCTACCGCTTGCCGCTAATGCTAATGCCTACTCCTGTTTTCCGCTATTGCCTACCTACCGCTTGCCGCTAATGCCTACCTACCTCTTGCCGCTAATGCCTAACTACCGTTTGCCGCTAATGCCTAACTACCGCCTGATACTAATGTCTACCTACCGCTTGCCGCCATTGCCTACCTACCGCTTGTCGCTAATGCCTACCTACTGCTTGCCGCTAATGCCTACCTACCGCTTGCCGCATTGCCTACCTACCGCTTGTCGCTAATGTCTACCTACCGCTTGCCGCATTGCCTACCCACCGCTTGCCGCTAATACCTACCTACCGCTTGCCGCCATTGCCCACCTACCGCTTGCCTACCTACCTCTAATATTGACCGTTCCATGCCACCGGTATGCCCCCGACGAGCCTGATGTGTCAGCGTTATGTTTGCTGTTGGTCAGCTTGAACCATTGATTAGCTGGAGGTAACGGGGGGGGGGGGGGGTACGTTGGGTTGGGTGACCCTGGGCAAATAGTAAGTACCTGAGGGCGACCAAATTCCTCACTTGCCACGAGTTTTACAAGGTCCGGACGTACAAGAGGTCCAGGCTTTGGTACAGACCGTCAAGACAATAGAACATTGAGGAGAAAATTTTAGTTAATTAAAACCGACATAATGACGTTGTATGTATAATATTAATTACATCCATATTATAGAAGGAATATCATCAGTTATATGTTAACACTGTATGTGTTAGAGACGACTAGATACACGTGTATACTCTATATGTAATGGAAACTACATACATATATTCATAATATATGCACTAGAGACAGCAACGTCCTGAAAAAAAGGACAATACATATATTAGGGTACATTTCAATATAACGGAAAATATATACAAAAGGTTTTTTTTTTAAAAATCTGATTTCTAAAATTGGTTAACGGAAATTTCTGGTTTTTATGTTTTATTAAAAGGATGATTAGGACTTAATGTCCTTTGAAGTCCTAATTAGTCTCAATTCTACTTTCATATTAATTTTTTAAATCAAAATCATCTGTACCTCAAACGAAACACCATGTCGTACTCCATATTCAAAGTTTAGATCTAAGTTTTGTTTAACTCCATGTTAAACTCTTAATAAACTCTAAGCTAATTGTCCTTCAAACCAAACAGGACTTAACCACTAATTTTGACTAATCTGATAATATAATTAAGTTAATTATAGATTATGTTCTTAATGCAAGTGACGTCAAATAAAACTAATTAAGCTAAACAGTAAAGCCATTTATATTTCAAAAAAGTTAAAAAAAAACCCCAGTAAAAGTAATTACATTTAATGAAATCAGTAAAACTCTTAGTAAAGTTAATCACCTTTCAAAAAAAGTAAGAAGCGGATAGTTAAAATCATTACATTTTTAATTAGATAACAAGTTGACAGTAAATGTAATTATTTTTCGAATTAAAATAAGTTAATTATATTTCAAAAGTAATTCTTAGTTAAACTCTAATTAACTACAAATAAAATTTAATTTAACTACAAGTAAACTCTAATTTAACTACATGTAAACTCTAATTTAACTACAAGTAAATTCTAATTTAACTAAAAGTAAGCTCTAATTTAACAACAAGTAAACTCTAATTTAACTACAACTAAACTCTAATTTAACTGCAAGTAAACTCTAATTTAACTAAAAGTAAACAAGGCTAGGCTACAGGGTCGTGGCCCACCAAACATGGTTCGGTACGCTAGTTATTTCATACCCTCCCATTCCCCCCCCCCCCCCCCCGCCCCCCGCCTACCACCGGGCCCTATTGTTTGAACAGCACCATCAGCCAGCTCCAGCGGTTAAAAAATGCTCGTGACGCGCCAGTCACTGACATGCCAAAATATGTTGACACCTCGTGCTGACGGGTGAGTTCACTGTGGTCTAACTGGGTCTCACTGGGTCTCACTGGGTCTCACTGGGTCTCACTGTCTCACTGGGTCTCACTGGGTCTCACTGTGGTCTTATGATCTCATTGGGTCTCACTTAGTTTGACTGGGTCACATTTTGTGTACTTTTGTCTTTCTGGGTCTCACTGTCTCACAGGGTCTCATTTTGTCTAATTTTGTCTCTCTGGGTCTCACTGTCTCATTGTCTCACTTAGTGTGACTGGGTCTCATTTTGTCTAATTTTGTTTCACTTTGTTTCACTTTTTCTCACTGGGTCGCACTGGGTCTTATGATCTCACTGGGTCTCATTTTAAATCCATTTAAGGTTAAATTCCAATTTTCCAAACATATAAAAGAAATTCTTTCTATGGTCATTAAGAAAAAAAAAATTGAATTAAAAAAAACCAACACGGACAAAGCTAATGTTAAAATTAACAAACTAGGAAAAAGAAAATGTTAATAAAAGAAAACTAAGCAAAATCTAATGTTAACAACAAACTAAGAAACATGAAATGTTGATAAAAGAAAATCAAGCAAAATTCTGTTAACTATAAACTAAGCAAAATCTAATGTTAATAATGGCTAACTAAGAAAAATCTAATGTTAACATTAAAATTCAAATTATTAATAAAAACAAATAGAAAAAATCCAATGTTAACAAAAAAAAATGCATTGAATAATTAAATCTTAACAAAACAAGCATAGAAAAATCTAAAGTTAACAAAACAAACCCAGAAAAATCTAAAGTTAACAAAATAAATCTAAAATCTGATGTTTATCAAAATAAACTCAGACAAATTCAACTTTAACTAAACACATAAAATCAGCACAGAAACATCTCATGTTAACAATATAGCTTCAAGAATAAAGGATCGTCCATAAAAGTCGTCTGGCAAATTGAGAACATTCTATCCCCCCTTCCCTTCACTTTACCCATTGTAAGAGGTCGCTTTTTAAAAACTAGTTGTAGAGTTCTATTTTATTGCGTTTTCACTATGCTTAGGTTAAGATATATACATTTAGAGTGCTCTATA